TTTTGAGCCTGTAACATAGTGTCTTACTCGAAAAGCTTCATAATTTATTGCGGTCACCCCACAACTTCAAGCCATTAGTTAGTTTGAGTCTTTGAGATCAATTTAAGAATCCAGATGTGCAATTCCAACTCCCGAGTTGGTGCGTCGGACGCACCAACTGCGTCCAGGAAGGAGCACCTGCAAAGACGTCAAAGGGTCGGCGCGGTATCGAGGGACTTAATGCTGCTACGGTGGTTTTCCATGGCCTTGTTTAAAGTTCATGACTCACCGCTCCCGGCCGCCTTCAGAAAGCCAACCTCGACCTTATCCCAAGCCGGCCGAATGTCGCGAGGTCCGTACTTGATTTCAGTCTCACTCGGACGGTTTCATTTCTCACGAGGTTTTGTCCCCTTCATAGGTGGTACAAGGATATCAACGAGCGGCCCTCGTGGCAGGCCGTCAAGGACGGTGCATGATTCATTTGGCTCATACAAAAATCGCAAATCGTATTGTGCCAGGGTCCGCCGGTTCGTACGGTTGTGCGTGTGTAAATTCAGTACCGTCTAAGTATGAATGTACGAATTTGTCAGAACCAAGACGTTTGAGTTCACTTCGGATGGACCGTTTGTTGCATATTACGTGGTCTTCAATTTTAGGGTCGCGGGAAGCTAGTTGGGCGGTGGGAAGCTGGAAGAGCCATAACCCTGTCGACATAGCTCGGGGATCAGGGTAAAACTGCCAGCAGATAAATAAAATGATTTGAGGCGCGCGCGGACAAATACACGGGGATATGTTTTATTGAATTGGGTGCGTGTCCAGTCGAGAGCTGGGCTGAAAATTCATCTTCTGGACAGAAGTCGCACATGGGTCTACATGGGGTGCAGCAGGTAATTTGTGATCTGTGATAGCGAAGATGGAAGTAATGATACAAAAGAATGCACTGAGTGTAACAACGAGTGCGCATGGTATAGTCCAGTTCCAAGGAAGCATGCGATCATCTCGTCAAGACCGCACCAGTGCTTCCTTGCTGCATCTTCATTCCCAGGGATTGTCGTTCCAGGATGATGGATTGCCGACATAACCCCCCCAAATGATGGAGGTATTCACAACTGTCCCTCCAGTCAGGAGTGAAAATAATCGCAATAGTAGTTCTCATACCATATTGTTCGTCGATTTCATCGAGACCGTCAGGTAGTCGAAGCGTTTCTTCATGGTCAGAGATGATCTCTTGAGTTGAGCTGGACCGGTGGGATGCAGATATATCCGCCTCTTGAACTAGGAGAGAGTCCGCGCTAACAGAGTTATCCGACTCTGCACACCTCAGTATGAGCGAAACAGTTGTGTTAAGTATCCAGTTGGCACACCAGACTTCTCATCTCCCGATTCGGAGACATCCTGACTATCAGAGACACCATCCGTGTCAGAGTAATGATCTCCTGAGTCATTCTCCTGCACTTTGAAGCCATCAGAAAAATCGAATTCGTGCTGATTCCCGGCGTACTGTCTGCAAATCGAGCGTCCTCCTCCCAATGCACGTGCAGAAGTGGGTATCCCAGCGCTGCAGCGACTTCCTGGCTGTAAGGATCAAACCCTCTGGCTTGGTGGAACTGACGGATTCCAGCGTAGACACTGTGATCCCAAGATACTGCGTAGACGTCCATGTGAAACACCATAGCGGGAAATCCAAGGGTTCGTGCCGTCTCACTACTTGGCCTGTCAAATCCATTCGGGTCGGGAGACCAATAGGCCGGGCAGTCAGGAGGTTTGAGTGACGCCGGAGAGTCTGATAGCAGATCGGCGAAGGGGCATAGAAATAAATAGCCCGGCGGTAAAGTGTCTCCTGCTTCCAAGAGCTCCACCTCGTATCGGACACGTTCTACAATGCCTGTGGGGACAATTACTAAAATCTCAACTTCACACGGACCTGAAACTCACCATAATCTTCGAAGTTAGAAGTTATATCGAGACAATCAAATATATAATTAGCCTGCGCTAGCCAAGCCCGTGAAGAATAGTTGTGTATTTGTCGACTGTATCCATTCGCAACTTGAGTGGAATGCACGCTATCATTGTGATGTTAATCCGCAAGAAATAACCAAGTGAACTGACGCACCGGATCCAACCATTCTCCATGATTGATATCCCTTCTTTGGTGCAATCTATCCTGTAATTTGTCACGATAATCAGGGAGACATTGAATGAATAGGGAGATTGAACATACGAAACGTAGCAATTCGCCACAATCGGGTCTATCGTTGACCAACCCAAATCATAAACCCCACAATCGGGGAAAAATGCAATTTCAGACGAGCTTTTATCCTCAGAACCAGATAAATGATGTATTGACCCGAGTTTCACGGAAGGAGGGGAAGAAATTGACAAGAATTGCCAGTGGGAGAGGTATCGGGAACAAATGAGGTGGTAATCTTGCAGGGATATAGAAGTGATGACTTTCCAGTCCTCGCACGGTTCCAGAAGGGAGGTACCGGAGAGCGCAAAATCCTCGATCAGATATACAAGCCCGACGGAACCAGACTCAGCCGGTGTGAGGTCCAGGGAAAGACAACCCGTCGAAAGGCGTATCCACGCCCTGTACTGAGACCAGTGCTAAAAGTCGAGAATAAGGTGATAGGATGTCGGGAACGCAATCTCTTTACCAGGTATCTTCCCGAAACCGACTGTATATATTCTCGAACGTCCTGCGAAAGATTGAGCATGGAGACAAGCAAGTACGCCCATGAATGCTATTACTCTGAATCCTTCTCCCTGAGAAACATTAATATTCATCCGCAGCAGATGGAGTGTGGACATACATACCATGCACGCCCAGAAGAACACGGTTGCAAAATGAAAGTTGCGGTATCTCTCCTGAATCTCTGCGCATGGTATTAAATCTAATCATGTCCCAATATCAATACTGATCGTGTGGCTTGACGTGTAGAAAAGTGCCAACCGTCGTGGAACACCGTGGCATATAAGCCTGGTGTGCTTACGATACCATAAAGTTGAAAAAGATTGGAGTGTCTGGATGGGGTTTAGGGCTTCGTTGTGAGTTTCAGCGAGCAAGGCGATACGGCTACTCTCACCGAAGCTCTGGATATCTTGACATATCCTCTCGCCATCGCTGCGAAGAGCCGTCAAATCAAGACTTGTTTGAAGAAACTACGAACACACCTGCTCAGCGCCATCTCCCTGGTACACTGCCGCAATCATAGTTGACTTGGAACCGTGAATCCGGGCAGTATACATTCGTCTCACAAACCCCAGTCCGCGTCGCCGACCCTCCACACGATTTCCGTCACCCGACCCAATTCTACGAATCAAATTCAGGTCTCCGAGGGGAACCACACGAAAGTCTGTCATCACCGTGAGTATGCTTACAGATTGAGTGGTGTGATGACATGCTCACCGGGAGGGGTACTAGGGACTGCCTGTTGGATATTCGTGATACTCTTGAACTTCCCCCGGCAACGACGAAGTGCTTTGCGTCAGGGAAGAAGGCACCGCTGTATCTGTGGTGCAGGCTGAAATAGCGAGTGAGCGAGGATGAGAGGTACACTGAGCATGGGGGAGGGCATCGTTTTCAAAACTCGGTTCTGAGTTGAATTCTGGCCGAAAATGGAGGTGCGTGTCCATGGATGGTGAGGATGAGAGGGAGAGATGCTAAGCGCTCAAACAGGCGCTGAATGAGCATTGAGGAGGCTGTGTTATGGTCTTCTAAACTAAAACCCGAAAGCTGTTGCAGATCTTCGAGAAATCCTCAGCAATCTCACAGCTTAGGATGTTGTATGGGCCAGAATTAGAACGCAAACATAGCGACACACGGCGAACCAATGTGGGCGAAAACTTAGTGTGCAAGAGCGTTTTGTCAGCGTCGAAATCTGATTCCAGAAGATCGTTTTTGACGCTTGGTTCCTCAGACGTTGGGATGCCGCCGACCAAACAATGGGCGCCCCGCGCAATTTGGGCTGGGGTGCCGCAACGAGCTGAAAAGCATTGCGAGATGGGTATTCCTCAAGCTTGCTCGTGACGGCATTTTGTCAAATCCGCTCCCAGGTACAGCGTTAACGATAGCAAGCTGTGCGCACACTGCAGTCCAACTTTTATCGCGCTCGGCGGTACATTGATTTTTGAATGATCTCGAGAACTCGGTGATGCCAGTGTTTTCGCCATATCAGAGAAGGAGATTGGGATCGAGAAATTCGCGGCCGCCAGCTGCGGTAAAATATATATCATAAAGGCCTCAGCTCCGAGTCGTCGTCCAGCAGAAACGTAGTGTAAGAGCAGCGGTAAGCCGAAAGGTGGATGCATGGGCAGCGGAAGGGGTGGAGACGGAGATCAAAGACGCATGCGGCTCGAGGATTTAAGGGAGTCGGAGGGAGAGGGAGAGAGAAGAGTAAATAAGCAGCGAGACAATCCCCTGGCGCAGTCGTAGAATTGCCATGGAAGGAAGAAAGAGGCGTGGCTGTGTCGATCACCGGATCAATTAGCCGGTTTCCATTGCCCACATCTATGTACGCCCGACCGCACCCCCGTCCAGGATTCCCTCAGCTCGACTCTCTAGCTCTGTGTATTTAACTACGAAATATCCCAGGCGTCGCTATTTTGAGACGCACAGGTTCTCTGAGCATCGGAGTGGACAATGGAATCCCCCGCTGCTGGAGTTGCGTTGTATGTGATTTTTCTGTCTTGCTATTCGACGGATGCTACTGTAGATATTATTTATTTGTGGTACGTCTCCGTGTATATGATGCAGCTATGCGGATACTTATTTCCCTGCGTTAACGTCCAGACAAGGTATTTCCCGACCATATTTCCAGCGCCGAGTTCAAACCAAAGGGTGTAACTCTCGACGTCGACCCATCGGCCCGACTATCTCGACTATATGATGCTACAGAACTTTGGTGGTCAGCTACAGACACTACATAAAGGAACGGGGCCACGGCGATACATGGGCTATGACTCCATGTCGTGGTTCCACTTTATCCTGATGTGATCATGGTTCGATAATAACATTGATGGACACTATAGCTCAGTGGCAGAGTATAGGATTGCAATGTTGCGTACATTATCCTGGAGTCCCGCGTTCAAACCGCGGTAGTGTCTCGTTTTGCTGCGGCTTTCGAGGCTTGCATTCTCTTGCACCATCCTTGCACCATTTTACGTGTCCATTGCTGATGTGTTTCTGACATCCTGCCGTATATATAGTTTCCGCATCAGGTAATGCCAGGATGGGTGCCTTGGTGCTCCAGCCGTGCGCCGTACGTGTTTCTCAGTGAGGTTCTCTCCGGCAGCCCGCCAACGACAGAAATTTCTACGTCAAACATCGAGCCTGAAGAATTATTTATATATTTGTGCTCTACGCTTTGGCTCATGCGCATGATCGCCGTGACAACCCTTTAGAGTTGAGCTAGAAAAATATAAATACGGCGGGGTTTTTGTAGACAACCTCTAATGGCGGTTCACATCTCACCAGCATATCCTGATATCCCCACTTACATAATCGGTCTAAAATGGTTGGTCGCATCAGTGGCAGTACAGTCTCGGAATCAGCCTTTCAAGTACGGTCACATGATGGGGCAAATTGACGTGTCACTATCTTCATTCGAAAATCTGCTCTGCCATCGTGTTTCATTTGTGTTCTCTTGATAATTTCACGTCCTTCTGGCTCATCTTTTCCATTATAGGTGCATCATTCTGGCTGAATTGACCACGTGCTGAAGTCTAACGAAGGCCTTCTTGTACAGCGTGAGCAACACCCCCAAGACAAAGCCCACCACAAAAAGCAGAGCTTTTTCACCTGCCAAGTAGCAGGGCTGCTGCATAGCAAAACAGGATGGCGTCAAAAGTCCCTTGCCCGAAGGCCTTCGCTGCCAATGCTGGACCTTCTCCCTTGTTTCTCCCCCTCCTATCCCCTCTAGCAACTCGGGAATGCCCTACAATTCGTTCAAACCCAGCAGTCAAAGTGATTTGGTGAACTTTTTCTGTATTTCCGTGACCTTCGCACATCCACGAAAGCCTTCGTGTGAATTGTTTTTGTTGACTACTGCTTCACCCACATCTCTGGAACGTCACTGCACTCCTACAACTCGTTCAAGCCCTTGCCATATGTCGCCACCCGGCACAACATCAATTTGCTTTGATTCTCGGAACCCTTCGTGCATCCGCGAAGGCCTTCACATCTATTTTTTCTTGGACTCTTGTATTGCGCTATTGTACATATATGTATTATAGTCCAATGTCTTACTGTATACCTACTGTACATCTTTTACTGTATACACCTACTGTACATCTTTCTTGTTATACTGTACATATTGCGTACTCCTGTATATTTTAGCACCGACAATGTAATTGACATGTCTGTGCGACCGGGCAGTGCTTTCCGCGATATGACGATACCAGAGAAAGTGGTGAAGGCCAGCGGAGGGTGTTTCCCAATTGGGAAGGGTGGTAGGCAAATGAAAGCTACGAAGGCCAGCGCAGGGTGAACGTAGGTGTTTCCCAATTGGGAATGGTCGCTGTTGACTAACACTGGGGGCAAAGAGCCAGGCATGTGGACGCCAAGTGCGTAACCCACATGTAGTTCGCACTAGGTAGACAATGGGAACAAAGCCAACAAAGCCGCCATTGACAGATAAAGCCTCCATTTGTATGTGAATGGGGTTTTGTGAGCTTTTTCATGAACCCGTTCGCACATGCAGGTTACACACTTGGTGTCCGCATGCCTCGCTGGTTGCCCGCAGTGTAATAGAAGCTGAAGACCTTCGTCTTCGGGACCCTCTTAGGTGGGTTTTACCCATACACTTTAACTCCTAAGAGGCCCTTTACGTAAGTGGCACATAGGTAGGTGCCTTAGGTCGTCTACACCCTCATTTATTTATTTCCCCCACAAATGTTTAGTTTTCAGCCCCAATGAGAGGCAGTGACGACTCAGAGAAAGAACAGACCCATAGCGATGGTATGCACCTGCTCCCAGTATAAAGCAACCAAACACAGCAGGCTCCCGGTTCGATTCCGGATCGAGCCATGAACATAGAGAAAGATCGCATTTTTTTGGCACCTGCAGATTTCAGGTCCACGATTAAATCCAGAGTGATAGCAAGAAAGACCCACGGCGGGTTGGTGCGTACCCGAGCCAGCTCTCCCCAAAGATACAAATGAAGTATACTGGTTTATTCGTGTCCGAGCAGTGATTGAGTCGTATTGGTCAGGGTTGACAATTTTACTGCCTCCAGGTGATAATTCAACCCGAGTTCAGCTGCGGAGGGGAGGAAGAAACAAGACTCGTGGCGATGGTCCGTGCCTGGTCTCTGTAACTGGAAGGCTAAAAAAATTGCAAGCAGGCTACTGGTTCGATTCCGGGTTGAGTCGTGCAGAGTGCGAGATGCCTTTTTCCCCCCATGTTGTCTGCAAGTGCTACTATCAGTTGGTATTAGCTGAGAAGGAAGTGTAGCATGGAAAGACTCGTGGCAGATGGTCTGCACCTGCTTTCTATGAACTGATAAGCTGGAGATGAACGTATTCAAGCAGGAGGCCGGTTCGATTCCGGGTCGAGTCATGAGTCGCAGGCAGCAGCGCTTTTTTTTATACTCGCCAAGCATTGAGTCTGTAACATAAGGGTTATTCACAGTTGCCTTTTTGACGTCCTTTTTTGCGCCCTTTTTTACTCCCTTTTTTGCGCCCATTTTCTTGTTTAGCAGATAAAAGTAACCGAGTGACCTATAAAATCCAGAAAGATTCGCCCGAGTCCTTTTTGAACACCTGAGGTGCTATGTGACCTTTAAGGAACCATAGGCGCACCCAGACTGCATGAAATGGATACAGGGAGCCAAAAAGGGAGCCAAAAAGGGACGAAAAAGGGAGCTGAAAGCCAGGGTGTTCACAGTAGCCTTTTTTTCGGCCCTTTTTCGCTTCCTTTTTTTCTGATTTCATCCAATATCGCTAGATTTTTTGGATTTACACCCTTTTTGCATGTTGAAATTGAAAAGGGGAAAAAAGCCGGAAGAAAAACGGCGGGAATACAAAAAGGGAGAAAAAAGGGAGCGAAAAAGGGAGGAAAAAAGGCTACTGTGAACAACCCTATAGTGTCTTACTCAAAGAACTTCATAATTTATTGCGGTCAGATGCCCGTCCCACAAGTCCGGTAAAATTGGTAGGTTTCAAGTTGAGATTAATGTGACACAATCGAGATGTACAATTCCGAGGGACCGAGTCAGTGCATACAGGATGTCGCAGCCTTGCAAATACTTCCAAAGGGAGCGCGAGGGTTTGAGGATTCAACGCTACTACGGTGGTTGACCGTTGTTCATCGTGACTGCTCGAGAAGGACAGAACCGGAGCACACGGGTCACTTGGAGCTGACCAACTGATTTCGGGCCTCGGCAATTGCGCACCGCAAAGCCGAACTTGAAGACCCCGATCAAAGCTTGATCAAAGCACTCGCAAAGAGAACTCTTTCTTCCTCACCATCGACAAGCCCGTTGCCGCCACTGCCAGACAGACCCTAACCTCGGTGTTCCCGGCCCGCATCGCAACCTGTGACTCCTTCAAGTTGCTGGCGCTGTCGATGACGATGTTGCCCTTTCCTTTCTTTTTTTTCTCGCCGATTGTTTGTGGGCAGTAAATATCCAAGCAACATCGCTCAACATTGCTCTCAACGTCACCGATGTCGACATTCGCAACGGCTTCGCGCCATTCGGCGAACTCGAGACGTTTCCCTCCCCTTTGAACTCCTAATCCCACTATGACTCCAACCCTCGCTCTTCCTTATGCGTAATCCTGAATCCAGACAGCTCCTCGTACGACTTCGGTTACGTGATCTATGCTGCGGAGGAGGGTGCTGATCTCTTGCTGATCTCTGTCTTGAAAGTGGTATCCAGCTCGCCGGCCGTCCCACGTGCGTAAACTCCTAGTCACAGCCATCTCCCGGACGGTTCATCGCGAAACCTCTCGTCTGCATAGGAGCCCGACCCTTCGGCCCTCATGTTAGTCTGCATCGCCACGTGCCACGCTGTTCGCGCATATTCCCTACGACCAATGCTTCCATGCTGTCAACAGTACTCGGGCTCCCGCTCTATCAAGCTTGCGTCTATCGAGCGTCACTGCGTGCAATGTCGGATAGACCTATGCTGATGATGTATGGCACCATCGCCCTCGAATATGTGGTGCATGTGCGGGCGGCAGCGGCCTGGGATACGGCGGGGGAGGTTGCGCGGTGGGTGGGGGTTCAGGGGATTGATCGAGGTGAGCCGGAAAGGCACTACTAAACTAGCTGAGCATTCCCTCAACTTCCTCTTCCTCCCTCCTTCCTCCTTCGACGACTCTACTCGTCTCTCACTCCAGACCCTAAGTCCCGGTCACTACTCTCGCATAATGATACTACGTTGTGGGTCTGTACACGCCTATGGCCATCTTTGGATGATTCACAAGCGGAGTTTTGCCCGCTACCGTAATCCTGCGTGTCCCTCAGCTTCAAGTTGCCTCGTGATTCAACTCAACTTCCTGAGCTCGGTCTGTATTCCGAGCCGATGATCTTAACTGTGCAGAATCTCTCTGGCGAGTTCACCACATTAGACGAACGGGCTTCGGCACGGGGTATTCATTCGACTCCGACTCCAACGCTCTACTTCGGGTGGATATTAATATCGGGTGTGGACGCAAATCAGTCGCTGAGTAAGAAGCGCGTACCAGCCCCGCTCAGTTCAGTCCCAGAATTCAAGGTACTTACTGCAGCTTCATATTCTTCAGGCTCGAGCCTGAGGCTATAGCTTCCTTCGACGTCTCCGCTCTAGAGTCTACACAGTCCAAGTCTATGTACTTCGGGGTGCAAACCCAGTTAATGCCCAACTTCGTCAGAGTACATATATCACACATGCCGAGTCTACTTCTCCTGTACGAATAATGGAAAAAAAAGCCATGACTCGACCCGGAATCGAACCGGCTGTCTCATTCAAATCTCACCCGCTTCATTAAGAGAGAGCAGGTACGGACACCGCTACGAGTCTTGCTCAAGCTAATCCTGTAACTCAATATACTCACTTGAAAGAGTGGTTTACATAATGCTATGTCGAAATCTACGGTCCGAAAAAAAACCATTAATCGAATCATAGCCGGAATCGACCGGTAACGCCTGCTGCAATTCGTTGTTTCTGCCTTTGACGGCAGGTGCGGACCATCCACCACAAGTCTTGTTCATCTACCCTTTCGATTAATATGCTAGCCTGCAATGTTATTTGAAGGAAACAGGGGAAAACACAGTGTGTTTATTTTATGACCTGCCCACCCGGGTTTCTGCATGAGAGGTACCAGGAAAATCTATTCTTCCTCACCACTAAATATTTTGACTCAGGATATTTGACGGTAACCAAGAAAAAAGAAATCTGAGCCATTTACGACTCGACCCGGAATCGAACCGGTACTCCTCTTGTAGCAGGTCGGGAATCGTTACAGAGTGCAGGTGCGGGCCACCACCACGAGTCTTTCTTATTAACTCTGCATCTAAATTCATAAGAGTCTGCATCTGAATTTTATGGCCTGAAATCTACGGGTGCAAGAAAAAGGACCATCAAGTTCAACATATAACTCAGCCAGAATCGAACCGGCTGCCTGCATCTAAATTTTGGCTCCTCTATACAGCAAGCAGATGCGGACCACCGCCACGAGTCGGTTTCCTGCTGTAGCTCACAGCTAGGTAGGTTGGTTTTCAATCTGCCAATGCTAATGATAAAAAACAATGACTCGCAATTTTCAAGCAGTCCCTAAGACTCGTCCCAGATTCGAACCTCGTTGCTGATTTTCGTTTACTATTACAGACAGCAGGCGTCGACCGTCAAGCTCTAATTTTGAACTTTCCTCGCCTTCAACGCTGTTTGGAGGAAACATCAGAAAAGTACATGTTTATTTATTTTATGACCTGACCTGCCCGGGTTTCTGCTCGAGAGGTGATAAGAAAATTTGTTCTTCCTCACCACTGAATAGGAAATATTTGGAGGTAACGAGGAATCTACGACTCGATCCGGAATCGAACGAGTGCCTGCTTGTGACGAATCTGCTTTGCCTTTACAAAGTGCAGCTGCGGACCACCGCTCTTCTCCTGCTGAACTTCACACCTGAATATCTCACTTGGTGTCATTCTGAAGACAACAAAATGTACTCATGCCGCACAGAATATTAATCATTATTGTCTCGTCCGCATATACTGTTTAAATCCTAATTCCGGTCGCGTCCAATCTGTCGGCCATCCCCGCCTGCCACAGTGGACCGAGGTCCGGGGATCGCTCGGTGTCCAAGAGAATTACCGAATCGTTGACAATGTCCCCCGCGAAAGCCCGGAGACAGATTTTCCTCTCCATCGTGCAATACAGAGGGGTCCATGGGTGACCTGCCTTGCACCTGCCTCTCGGGGTCTCCTGCTTAGAATGAGCCTTAATTTTTTGCACTACTAGTAATACCCACTGGCTACACGACAACAACCCCATACGCTGTTTCCGTGCGCGCCAATACAAAACGCGATCAGCCGCTTACGCCAAGCTTACGCGCTTACGGCGGTCTCGAGCGTATAAATGGTAGCTCACTCCAGTAGACAGATGTCAGTGCAAGTATGGTTCCATCCCTCCCAAAATTGGGTGCACTTGCGACGCTCTTTCATCTCTCCAGCATCTACGTCGCATCCGGACAATCTTGCGGCTGCTCATCGCTCGTTATCCCTGTTCACGTCGACGTCCTCATTCCGAAGGACCCCGCGGATCCATTTGGGGGGCTCAAAGCAATGCAAGCAGTCTACGCCGTCTGGAAGAAACGTACACGTCTTCGGTGTTTTCTGTCAGCCGAACATCGCAGTGTCCCCTGAGAAAGCGGGTCAGTTGAAAGTGCATTTTTGGCCCGTATGATGTTTGATTCTTTGTTAGATGTCATACAACTTTTGGTGCATGGATTCACGTATACCAGCCAATATTGGTCGCCTCCGACGAGGAATTCCGAAACTATCCTACACAGAGTTCGCCTGCGACCGCGGTCTGTCCTCCCTTGCCATCGATTTGGTGGGCGTCGGGTTGAGTTCACGACCCGCGAACGCCTCTGACGTACAGTTCGCCACCAACGCCGCCGTTGTCTCGCAATTGGCACGCCATCTCAAAATCGCGTCCATTATCGCCGGGGTCCAGCCCTTCAAAAAGGTTATTGCCATTGGGCACAGCGCGGGGTCAGCGACGTTGACGTTTGGCGCCACCGCTGAGAGGGCCCATTCCCCCTTCGACGGTTTTATCCTCACGGGTAACGTGAACTTCGTTCATCCCAGCACGCTGCCCGGACTACCTGGGCTTATGAGGCACGGGACGATACCCCGCTCCGGTGGGGTGGCCTCGACCCCAATTACATCACCACAAACAATCGCAGCCTATTCTACCCCGCAAACCCCAACTCCTTCTCGCCCGCATGGCGATATTCGACGCCTTCACAAAGGACGTTGGGCCTCTATCCGCGCAGTCGCAGGGCGGTGTGACTTCTCTGCCGGCGCACTACCCCGGGCCCGTGGCGAAGGTTGTGGGCTCAGAGGACCAA